TCCCCCTCTGCTCCGCTCTGTGAGACCCCCCTGCAGGGCTGGGTCCAGCTCTGGGGCACCAACAGCAGAAGGACACGGACCTGCTCGAGCGGGGCCAGAGGAGGCCACGGAGATGCTGGGGGGGCTGGAGCCCCCCCTGTGAGGACAGGCTGAGAGAGTTGGGGGGTTCAGCCTTAGAGCAGCCTGCTGGTACTTAAGGGACTACAGGAAAGGCGGGGAGGGACTCCTGATCAGGGGGTGTAGGGATAGGACAACGGGTAATGTTTTTAAACTGACAGAAGGGAGATTTCCATTAGATATAAGGAAGACATTTTTTCCTGTGAGGGTGGTGAGACATTGGCACAGGTTGCCCCTATTCAATAGATATTAAATAGATAATGTTAAATAGATACTGTTAATATTAAGTTAAATGGCTGATGGATCTGAAATTTCTAAAATTTTCAAGGAACACTCTGAAAGCACAGCCCTTCATAGATCTCTTTCACCATGCTAGTACCTTTTTCACCATAGGCTAGTGGTTGTGCTTCTCTTCCATCTTCAGTCACTGGTTAGTGCATTTGTAGTGCTCCTGCTGTACAGTGAATCCTTCTGGTTTAATTGCTGAAGCCTGAGGAAGTTTCCCGGGGCCATTTCTGGAAAAGATGTTGGATGCTGCTTTGTTGAAGTGGAAGAGGAGCAGGCTGCATGTGCACATCAGGTTTTGAGCCCGTACAGAGCTGATGACAGCTTAGTTCCCCCCCCCCGAAGGAATATGGGTTCACACTGTGCTGTTGTGAAGGATCAGGGACTCTTTTCTTGTTTTGTGTCTCCCAGGAGCTCCAGACTGGGATAACACTGTGATATCTGGGTTGTAACTGCATGTGCAAGTGCAGAGGTTGGGTAAAAATACTGGCTAAAACCACTGCTTTGTGTTAAAGGCTACCAACAGGAAAGACAACATGAGCCACAGTGGTGGTCTCTTCATTTAAAAAGACAAAAAGATGTTCTTGAGCACATCACTATTGAGCATTACAGCTTCATGCCCTGAGCAACTCATTGGAGCCATTCATAAAGTAAATAATTTAGGTGAAAAAATTCATAAATTATAGAGCTATGAAAACAGTATCTCAGGTTGAGGATTAACTCGCCTGAGGAACAGATAAGGATAAATCAGAATGAAGCCACTATCGTTCTTGACATTTAGTATTAGAATTACTTTGGAAAGCTATTTATACCAGCTTTAAAACAGTTTCAACAAGAAATGAGATGTGAGAGGTGAACAGAAGGGAACAGCAGAACCTAAGCTCATGCCTCTCATTATAGGAAAGAGGAAAAATTCATTTGTCTAACATCAGGCTATTTTAAATACTGAAGTGTTTAACTCTTCAGAGAACATTTTTGAACCTTACTAAGCAGATCAGCAAAATTAAAAATACACAGCGTAGTAAAATGGAATGTATGTTGGTAGCCATGGAAGTCCCACGTGGATTTCTCTTGCATTAGGGTAGATCAAGAGTAATTCAGCTCTTGGTTTTCACTGGTGTAAGAGGGACCAGAACCTGGCTGCTCCAACTTGTGGGCACTGAAAATGTTTTCTGGTTGTTTTAGAGAAGTTCAGAGTCCTCCGCTGATGAAGTGTGTGGCTGTAGTGGTAAGGTTGGTAAACCGAAGCAGTGGTCTGCTGTAACACTCTGGTACTTCAGAGTGAGGAACTTTTAGCCTAAGTCCCCACTACATTTTTTTTTTTTTTTTTAATTAAAAAAAAAAAAATAAAAAAAAAAAAAAGTCAGTCTTTGGGTAAAAATATCCTTCTTAGATGACTTCAAATCACCTGCTTCTTATTTCTGTATACAGCTTTAAAAATTGAGTATTCTTATTGTTTGATATCTGAGTTCCAAGGTTGCAATAACTCATTCTGGTGTAATACAGGGGAATGCATAAAAAGCTTCTGCTGGCTTTTGATAGCTTTTTCTTTCAATGGTGCCCATTAAGTGGGTGTAGTAATCTCTCCAGCTTTCCAGTTTATTATCTTGCTGTCGTGGTACACTGGATAATAAATGGAAAAAAAAGCACTAAAAATGTACTGTGAAAATACAGGTAAGCATGTGATTTTTGTCGGACTACTACAATTTGTAGATTCTAAGACTTTTCAGTGTTAGGAAACGAGATGAAACTTTATGACAGTGTGTATTTGTACAAGAATATCCCAACTATAATCGCTAAAAATTTGACACTGCTATATTTTTAATAACCTTCTTTGTGTATTTTTAAAGATAACAAACAACTCTGAAATAGCAAATATCATTAAATTGCATTTACCAAAAAAATGGAGGCTTTCAAATGAGATGACATAAACGCCGTGTTCATTCCAAACGGCAGCTCTCGGGATGAACCTCCGGCTTCATTAAAGTCAATGAAATGTCTTCCTGCTGACTTCAGCATGCCAGGATTTAAAAAAAAAAAAAAAAAAAAAAAAAAAAAAAAAAAAAAAGAAATGGGATCTTAAAAAGTTTTCTTCTTGATGAGTGACTGGAGCTAAAGTCATTCAGCTGTACTTTTCTGTGCATATGTTCTATAGTTCAGCCAGGAAGTCTTAAGGTGAAGATAATAGCTGGTGGGGTTGAGGGTATGCGGAAAGGAAATAATATTTCTCTTTGAAGGAATATATCGGTAGTTGTGTTATCCCAGAGGTCCCTTTCTATTGAGAAACTGCAGGCATGTGCCCATTTCAGTGCTAAGGGAAGCTGACCGTGTAGGTGGACATTGGTGTTAAGGATATTTAGGCCTTAAAATTGATGGAAAGCCCCAAAGTCTAACTCGTTATTTAAAGTATTCCATTACTGCATTGTGTGGGTAGGAGTTGGGGCATTATTTTGCATCAAGTGTAGCACTCAGGCATGGTTTTAGGGACATTTTTAGCTTTGTCCTTTGGGCATCAAGGATTTTTATGTAGCAATTGAATAGGAGGAAGGAATTAATTTGATTTAGCGATGTCAAACTGAAAATGAAGTTCCTCCTAGCACATCCTTCGAAGAACACTCAATGGCTCTGCATTTAGCCTGCCATCCGCTTTATTTTTGCAGGGATATTTTTGAACTTCCTCTGCTGATAAATATTTGGAGTCTGTTTATATTTCCTCTAATCTCTGTTAGATAGTGCTTAGAGATTTTTTTTCCATAAATACTTATTACTGAAGAAATTGGTGTTACAAGCCTTGAAATTGCAGTGCTAGCAATTTTGTAATTTTAACTGGAGCTGACTGACAGTCTATTTATTAATTATCCAAGAGAGGCTTATAGCCTTCTGAAAGACAACTTTATTTCTGGACTGTAGGAGTTAGAAGGGCGGTTATAATTGCTTTATGTCTGGAGTGCAGGTTTAGGTGCAGAAGGCTTGGCTGGATTAGATGTGACCATCGCTGAGGATCAATAAGGTATGAAAAGTGCAAAGACTTTCAAATTTGTAACACGTTTAGATTTTTAGTCACCAGGATGCTGTTAACCTCAGAATGAAAATTGCAGGTGGTTTTTTTTTTTTTGGTTTTTTTTTTTTTTTTGTTTATCTAAAAGCAAATGAAAAACAATCCATAGAAACCTGAGTTGATATTAATGACTTTGAGTGCTTGAAGGATTTCCTTTGCAAAATTCTGGGCAGCCTTTTCTTACGTCCTGGCTCTGTACGAGTCTCACTGGTGTTGCCCAGTTAAATCTTAGTGCTGTTTTGTTATGCCTTGCTAATTCCTTTCCGGGATCATGTTTTTCCTGATGTGAATATGACAATCCCACTTTAATTAGATAACAGCGGTTGTCACCATGCATAGGGACTGTGATGCCTAGGAGTCTCAGAAGTATCTGTGTCAAAAGAAATAAACAAAACATCTAAAAATCTTTACTAAGAGGCAGTAAACTTAAAAATGGGGCTGGTTAACAGCACTGAAAGGAGACGCCTTATTATATTACAACATATAGCCACCAGATGTCACTTATTTTGTGCACCACTGTGCTGGGGAGAAATATGCCCTTGGTATGTAAAAGATAAAAAAAAAATCCAACCCAGGAACTTGCTGTAAGTGGCTTTGTTTCGGTTTGTATTCATAATTGGCAACTGTCTTCCTTGATAAATATTTTCATCTTAAAATAGACTGTATAGGCTCGTTTCTCACAGATAAGATAGACTTGCATTTTTTATGAGCTTTAAATGTCAGCAGTGACATTTTGAAATTCAGTCTTTAAGAAAATAATTAATAGGCTTACTAAATTTTCTAAAGGATGAAAGTACCTTTTATGGTAAGGACAGTCATAATGAACTGTACTATCATTAAAGACACTTTAAACAGTGGCTTAAATATACATTCATCTTCAGGCAAGTTAAAAGCATTGAGATGATTCCTAAAGTCACGCAGGGCTGAAAGCAAGATGGAATTACGTGTAGGCAGGGGAAGGACCACTTCTAAAATCAGAGAACAGCATCCACTTGTAGAACAACCCAATTCGTCCTCGGGGTTTAAAGGCTTCCAAGAAAAGTGTAAATAAAGATATATAGATAGATGGGGATGTATCTCTAAAGTGGAAAAAGAACCCTCGGTAGCCAATGCAAAAGCTCTTTTTCCTGACCCCAGTGAGCATGAGTGGGATGGACAACTAGTTGCTCATCGCTTGTGATCTGGGTGGTGGTGTCCAGCACTGGCTTTTCCCTCCCGTTACCAGAGATGCTAAACTGACAGGTGCAGCCCCTCTTCCTTCTCCATGGTCACACAGGCCTTGTGCTCATTTATTTTTTGGTCTGTACTCAAAGGCAGCACCATTAGAAAGGGGAAATTTAATTTTCTGCAGTTGAAGCAGACAGGCGGAAAACTGAGTGATTTCCTGAAGGGTAATGATTATTTTTCCAGTGGTATTACTGCAGGGTGGTTTTTTGTTTTTTTTTTTTTTTCATTTTAAATGTGTCTTGTACCTCAGATTTCATCTTGGGATGGAGTCATACTCTCTCTGTGGATCTCATGCAGGTTGGAGGACGTAAATCCATCTCTCCAAGTGAATGATGTGAGCATTGCCCTCCGAATTATTTTCCTTTTGAGTCCTCAGGAGCAGCTGTTTTCAAAGACTACCTACCTTCATTCTTCATCTGTTGAGAACAATGGACTCTTGCATGACATTCACTAACGGGAGGCAGAGTATATGACACAGACTGTTTTCCCTCCTTTTCTTCTATGCTAGAGCAAAACTAGAGGTGAGCAAAGCACTCCTTAACTGACAGAAATGGTGTTGACTCCCAAATGCAGTGAGTTAGTATTTTAGCAGCTGGTATGAGACCAATTATATTAGTGAGGGCTCCATTGTCTTAACTGAGAGCTGTTTATGAGACCGAGGGTTTCACTTCCTTAGCTGCAGGTCTTGCACCATTGCTCCTGAAAATACCACCTGCCAGCTTTGGCCCCAGCAAGTGCTGGCTGCCACCGCTGTGCAGCGGGCTTCTGGCACGGCTCTGGGATGGGGACTGCGATGACAGCTGGGGAAGGCTGGAAAAATTATTTTCTCTGTCTTTTGAGCTTATGGAAAGACTGAAATTCACCCCATTTAATATGGTTGCTGGGGGAAATTCAGATTCAATACTGTCTGCCGTAGATGGTTCATTTAGAACAGGATTGCTGGTGATTTTTTTATCTCGTACATACCTGAATTTTCTTCAAAGTCCCTCAATCCCTGTGTAACGGGATTCTGGTGAGTTGGTAGATGTAGATTTTTCTTCAACTTCTACCATTTTATTCCTATGGTATAATAGTATAGGTAACGGACGTCAGTACCCTGTCATTTTGTCATCCACAAATTGAAAAGCACTCTGACATCTGCTGTTGGGAGTTACTCCAAAAAGTGAGCACCGTCCGTGCCCCGAAGGTCTGATACACATGGATATTAACCAAACTCAGATACGTTTGAATGCACTCTAGCATCCTCCTGAGTCTGCTGTGTATGGTATGAATGTTTGCAAAGAAACTACTGCCTTTACTCATTTAATTAGTTTTTCCGGTTGGACAGAAGCTCTTATATAAAAAGATTAATGAAATAATACATATATTGTATTAAAATGTTAATGTTTGGAGAATATATTTTGTCTGTTCCGGATCAGTTGTGCTGGCGTAGCTTAACCCTGTACAAATAACCTTTAGGAGGAAAGTAAGAGTAACTACAAAGTCAAGTTTTCACATAATATAATCTTAGGTTTTATTCTGATTTGCTGTTATTATCAAAGTCTAATTTATAACACCGAGCTGTGCAATAAAGAAACTGAAGTATATTATGAGCACAGAATTTATTTTTTCACTTAATGAGAAAAAATGAAACTTTCTTAGTTTATAGATTATTCTGAACTTCTGAAGTAACTTATTTTAATTATAAATGTTTTGGTTACTGAAGGCATTTTTTCAGGATTTAAACGTGCAAGCAAGCTGTAAATTAAATCAAATGGTCTGCAGTGAGACTATAATTTCTCTTACACACCTAGGATGAATGGTTTTCTAGCATGCCTAATATCTCCACATACTGGTGAAGTAACCACTATAAAAGCAGCAGGATTGACTCCATCATTCACACAGTAGGTTTCATTTTTGTCTGCTAGAAATAGTTTGTCCATCAGGGCCAGAGAGCTGATCCCTGGGCACCTTCCCTCGTTGACTCTGGTTTGAAGCTCTGCTCCAGCTGTGCAAAGTGGGACCTGCTCTGTTGAAGCACGTTGGAGATGCAGAGGGGGATTGTCACAGTCAAGGTGCCAACTCCCCCTTGAAAACATGAGCAAAGAGATAAACTGGCCAGAGCAATTATGTTGTCAGAGGGTGGAGAGTTTTCATGGGGTGAGAACTACAGAAATTCATGATTAAAAAACCCAACCAAAATGGCAAATTTGGCTGGCAGCCTCATTGCCCAGACGCAGGGAGTCTCTCGCATCTGTGTGGCAAGGCTGCTGAATCGGTGCTGGAGCTGTTTCTGTTGAAGCCAGGGCAAGCCAGAGCTGGTGTGGTGGGGGCAGTTTTGCTCTTCTGGGACCTCTGCTGTAGAGGACATAGGCAGGGTGGAGGGGTTACAGTGTCCAAAAATGCTCCTGCAACAGCTGAGTCACATTCCTGAAGCTCGGATGGAAGACGTGGCATTTTGTGGCACTTTATTGCATGTTGCTGTCTTTAGATGTGGGCATGGAGAGGTCTTTGTAGAAGACAATGATTGATACGGCTTTTTTTGCGGCAACTGCTGTGTTTTGTTAAGACCATTCTTGAGGGTGGAAAGCATTAAGAGAAACTGAGCGTGGGCCAACTTCTACAATGCCTTATTTCTGAAACCATACAGCTCCTTTTAATGGCTACTGAAAAACAAGGTGTAACTCAATAACATTATTGACAGAACAGGTCAACACAGACCTGTTTTTCACATTTCTCTGGATCTGAGGCACTAAAAGAACCATTGGAGCTGCAGTTTGATGCATCAGTTGGACTGAACTCTTCTGCTGACAAATACAACGTACTTCCATACTGTTATCTGCATATAATGCACACGTTTTGTTTATCATTGTTTTGTAGCGGCTGGGTCTCACTTTTGAGAACTGAACACTGCTTTCCTAGAATGTATGTTTTGTCACTTGACAGAGTTTTAGGGGTTTTCTTTGGTGTTGTTTATATCATATGGTATATGGTGGTGCTTAGAAACCATAAATGGGCTTGGAAGCCATCACTTCCAGCCCTAACACACCCTAGTGAGCTCTTATTTCAGTGTAGTCCCTGCTGCAGACATGTGTTAGGGAATCTGTAGTTTATTTCGCATAAAAAATATCCCCTCCAAATGCATCTGTATGCTCTTGATGCTGTCTTAGTCTCCTGTGTGTCTGCAAGCTTTGAATGCATTAACAGGCTAAAGCAAGTTATTACATTAATCTTGTGAAATCAAAAATGCATGGTTTTGACTCAAAGTAGAGTAAACAGTGTTGGTAACAGAAAGATTTAACAGATAGAAACGCATATCAAAACTTGGGAGGTATTTTTGCTGGAGATGATTTTTGGTTAGTTATGTTAATTCTGCTAAAGTTGCAGTTCAGAGGTCCTGGCAAAGTATTTTGCGGGGTTTATTCTGGAGCTGTTTTTACTTCTCTGCAGAGTTTTATAATGTTAATGTTCTATCTCAATTTTTCTGCATTAGAAAGTAAGCTTTTTTGGTTATCATTACCAGCATCTGTTCTTGAAAAGCCGGCTGCCAACTGCAGTTGATGGAATTTGTGTCACTTCAGATTTCTTCTGTGAATTGCTTCAGTGAATGATTTATTCTAAGAAGTGGAACCTGAGCTCCAGAATTAGTGTTGATCTCATTTTAGCTGCAACATCCTATGGCAACTCTATGTCCTGCTCTTTTTGTCTAGAACCAAATATATCAACAAGCACTGCTGGTTAAAAATAAAACCTCATTTTACCTCCTGCTGTTCACTTTTGAGTTGTGCCCCGCTACCTGCAGGGGCACAGGGATTTTTCAGCAGAGTGCGAGCTTTCTGGCTGAAGCAGAGCATATGAGAGCTGTTTTTCTTTAAAACTGTTCTCTGGGCCATATCAGGAGATGGTCCCACAGGGCAAGTGAGAGGAGCATCCTGGCCATAGGCATCCCATATAGCACCCGGGTGGTGTTCAGGTAGGGATCACTAAAGGCCACCATGTGAATTAGGCACTTGTGTCATCTGGGAGCTCCATCAAGGGTGAGATCTTTATTTCAGTTCCTCAATGCAAGGCCTTAAAAAGTGAATTGTGAGCCCTCTGAAGTTTAAACAGAGGAAGAATGGAAGATTAGTTTGAGACAGTCTCCCTACAACAGCAGTTAAGTAATTAACATCTCAATCAGAAAAAAAATCTCTTAGAGAGGTTGCCTAGGATTGCCTCTGTGACACAAATAAAGACCATCTACATTGCTAGGCTAAATGTTGCCTTTATGCTGCAGAAGAAGCAGGGTGTGAGGGACGGCGTGCCGAATTTTTCTTGGTGGGTTCATCATTATGCAGAGTTGGGTTTTTAGTTTGTTGTGGTTTGTTTTTTTGGTTTTTTTTTTTTTTTCCCTGGTTTCTTTCATGGAAATTCAGTCAAAAAAGTTCTCAGATTTTTATCTTGTTTGTTTACAATCTGCAGTCCAGCTAAGTGCAATGGAAAGCATGAAAAGGTATTTGTGGTTGTGTTCTTTCCAAGTGGAAAACAAGTATACTGAAGGCAAACATGGGCAAAACCTGCAGGAATACACAGTCAAGGCAAGGGAGTCAGCAACTCAGTGGCTGAGGAACAGATTTATCTAATACTGTTCTGGATATTACAGTATTTATTTACTGGATCCCATCGATAGCATGGCTTTTTTTTCTGTGTTATTACTGCTGTAAGTGGGGGTCTTGTTGCAGTTGCAAGATAACTGGGCTAGAGTTTACCGTGTTACAAAAATTGTGTTGAGAGATGTAATTTTTTTGGAGGGGCTGGTGAATGAGTGCAATATGTTCTTTCTTGTAACAATGGAAATTAGTAAATGAAGATATTTGAATTTCTTTGAAGTTTGCGATAGAAGTGTTGCTGTGATGATCTGCAGATATGAGAGGACAATAATGAGTGTTTAATCTATTGTCAAATGGCATTAAAATCATAGAATCACAGAATGGTTTGGGTTGGAAGGGACCTTAAAGCCCATCCAGTCCCACCCCCCTGCCATGGGCAGGGCCACCTTCCACCAGCCCAGGGTGCCCAAAGCCCCGTCCAACCTGGCCTTGAACCCTGCCAGGGAGGGGGCAGCCACAGCTTCTCTGGGCAACCTGTGCCAGGGCCTCAGCACTCTCACAGGGAAGAATTTCTTCCTTACATCTCATCTAAATCTCCCCTCTTTCAGTTTAAACCCGTGACCCCTTATCCTATCCCCACACCCCTGATGACGAGTCCCTCCCCCTTTCCCGCAGCCCCTTTCAGCCCTGGGAGGCCGCTCTAAGGTCTCCCCGCAGCCTTCTCTTCTCCAGCTGAACCCCCCAACTCTCTCAGCCTGTCCTCACA